GATCTTTGGTAGTCATTGTCTACACTCGGCTGGTCACACGTCTTCTCACTAGAAAGCCGAGAATTTCCTCACGAAGCTAGTTACTAGTGAGAACAAGAATGCCAACTGAGTGTACTAACACAGTGTACTGACAGAAAATTTAGAGTCTTATGTTAAGATTTTATGAAAATCTGACAACAACCCAAAGCATTTTTGTTTTTACTCAAACGAGTTCATGGTCAGCATGAAAAATAATATCGATTTATGATTTTCATAATACGGTTGAGCAGATAGTTGAGTTTCATTGAGCTTGTAGTGAAGGAGAACATAGGTGAGGCAACCGGATTGTATTTAACGAAAATTACAGAGTTACTCAGTAAAATTGGAAAACCATATCGTAAATCGTTCATTTGCAAAATATCAGTTCATCATATCGAACTGGACTGTTCCTGCTGCAAAACATCAATCCAATGTCACTATTCATGCGTTTCATACAAATTCCATTGTTTTCTATCTCTTCCTTTCTTGATCTTCCCCCATCTTCTGCTGCCAGATATTACGTTTTTACTCGCGTCATATACTACTTATAAGTAGCTCACACCACACTCGTCCCAACTTTTAATAAGCTGTCGTCACTTTCAAAACAGGGACCCTGGTCAGTTAATATCACCTTCCGTATTCCGTGACACGCTACAATATGCCGGATTACCACTTCGGTCATTGTCTCAGCTCGCTGGTCTGGAAAAGATACGACATCTATCCAACGTGTAGCGTTTACTAGTTCCCGCAGCTGGGACACGGTGGCAGGCACACTCTCGATAAATTGCGACGCCAACGACTGTGCCACCGACTGCCCATCCATACTCGGCAGCGTACGGCACAGCAACATCGTGAGCTCCACAGCCAGCATCAACGGGTCACCATCAGCCGACAGTCACGCCAACCGGAACCTCTGTGGCGCCTCCTCCCTGTCCACTGGGCTGTCGATCTCTGTCATCAGTCGCCCTGTGACCGTCTCTCACGCCGTCTTCCCGGCGGCACCGTCTAGGTTAGCGTGCACCGCCTTCGCCTCACCTCTCCGCAGCGTCCCCAGCACCGCCAACTCCGCCCCGGGCCCCTTCACACCCACCAGCTCCACCGCGGCCTCAAACGCCTCCAGGAAGCTCTGCGAATCTCCGTCCTCCAACTCCTTCGGCCACGGGAGCTCCTTCCTTCGAGCAGGCAGTTATGAAACTCAGTTGAATTAATCATTGATAGATCATCATTAAAAACCTGGAACATTGAAAGACGACTGTTTTATCCTACCATGGGACTCATCAGTAGTGTTGACCATCAATCTCAGTGTCCTGGAGGTTAAGCATTCGTACACGAGACCGAAAGTCCTGGTTTCGATTCCCACGAGTAAGGATCGTAGGTGTGCATTGCTGTTGAGTCCCATATTAGCACAAAACCTCCGTCCAGTGCTTCCCGGTTTCTAATGGTGATTTAACAATGATCGAATCATGATCTTCATTAGAACCTAGAACCTAGAAACTTAGAAGCATTGGACGGCCGTTTCGTCCTGGCATGCGGCTCACCTCCTACAAGTTCTAGCGAGAAGTGGTGACCAGTAGAGTTCAACCCTGTTTGGGTGTGAAACAGTGCTCACCGAAAAATGCGTGCTCGGTTGCGAAAGACCGTGAATTGATCAAAGTTAGACAATTAAATCGTTTGATAGTGGCTTAGTGGTTCAAAGATTAGGCTTTCGCGCTCAAGACTTAAGGTTGTGGGTTCGGATCCTGTAGGGTTCAAGGATCGTGCATGCGTACTTCTGGTGAGTCCCATGCTGTTATAATGCTGCTAAGTATAGCTATTTAGTCCTAGCGGCGTCCAAATTCAAATATCCCAATATGACCCAAAATACTATTTCCAAATCTCCTATGGAGTCGTTTATTGGGCCGAGTACAGAAGAGAGGTAGGCAGGAAGAAACGGAATCATGAAGTCTTACAGATAGTGCGTATTTATACATTTAGGTCGAATAGGAAAGAGCATCAAAGTCTGTGACATTGACAGTCCGGATGACCAATAAGAGACAACATTGAAGTATTTGACTTCAGCTGACAGTTAAAACGACCATAATTTTGACCAATAGAAATCGACCAATAGGATTATACTTCCAAAAATAGTACTCTTAGGATATTTGATGAATATCCTAACACATATCAGGATGAGACGGCCGTCCAGTGCTTCCAGATTTCTAATGGTGACTCATGATTTCAGTAAGTCAGTTAAAATGTCTACGTTTTCAATAGAACAAGCTACCTGACATTTGTGTTGTTGATGTTCAGAAAAACAATAATGAATGCTCCACAATCAAAACAGTCATCTCAGAGAACGAAACCTCCATCACAAATAGACATCTTACGTATTTACTTTTTTCTGGTTAGCGTCTTTCCAATGAGTTAGTTCTCTACGGGATGAAGTCACTAACCCCATGTCTAACCCTACTCCTTTATCTGGGCTTTAGGACCGGCAGTAGCCCTTGAATGTCTTCACACTGGGTTACAAATCCACATCTACTTACGTGTAAATTCACATATTTGCATGACATTTGATAAAATATTCACTCACCTGTGTACAAATTTCAATCCTGAACAATATTAAAGTTTAGTCATACGTATCATTCAATTGGAAAACTATTTGAAATGCTCGTGACCTCGATTAGCGAAATCTCTCGCTCTCACGCACACACACACATACATAACCACATTGCATGTGATTCAGTTCAAAATGCAATGCAATGCAATGAATTCCAATCTAAATTACTTTTCTTGCTTACTTATTTAATTGTTTCACGTTATCTGGTTACAAAAAGAAAAAACTGAAATTAAAAAAGTTGAACAATGAACACTACTAACCTAAAAAAAGTTAGTTGCATGATTCAAACAACCAGTATTTTTAGAAGTAGAATAAAAATCTGAAAAGAAATTTATGAAACAAATTCAATGAGATGGAAATTTTTTGTAGTTAAGTGAATAATTTAATCTTATCAGAGGTCATAGTAGTCTATAATACTTTAACTAAGTTAATTTCTACAAGGTAGAGTAGCTAATCTTCCTCATTTTTATCGGGTTTTGGGAACTGGAAGTAAAACCCTAGAAGAGCGTTAAATAACAGGGAAAGACTAGAGAATGAGAGATTGAATAACACTTGGAAATCATTGAAAAAACGAGAGTCTGGTAGGACAAAGTAAGTAGGTAGGTAGGTAGGTGGGTAGGTAGGTAGGTGGGTTGGTAGGTAGGAGATTGCTGGTCAATAATAGTCCTGATGTATTCTACAAGAAGTGATAACAAGCGTGAAGTTAAGTTAAATCAAGTATTGAAGTTCATACTTATGACCTTTAACTAGATGTGAAAAGAAAACATATTTTATTTTATATCCTTCATTTAGTGTTAAACACCAAAAAAATTATTATGAGATGCTTCAATGATTTTTTTTTGGTGAATAAAAATATACTACTTAATTGACCTAGTTAACTAAATGTGTTTTTCTGTGTGCTCAAAATAGATAAATAACTTTTCATTAAAATGTGCTCACTAGTGACTAGTTTCGTGAGGAAACTCTCGCGGTTCTAATGAGAAGACGTCTGACCAGTGGATTTCAACTGTGTTGGGTGTAGGCAGTAACTACCAAATGGGTGAGATCGTGCAAAATCCCTAGATCAGTAAGAGTTAGACATTAATACCATTGGATGCCGGTCCAGTGGTTCAATAGTTAGCGGTCTGCGCACAATACCGAAGGTCCTGGGTTCGAGTCCCGTGAGATGCAGGAGTCGTGGATGCGCACTGCTGATGAGTCCCACACGAGGACGAAACAGCCGTCTAGTGCATCCGGGTTTCTAATGGTGGTCTAACACAATGACTGATTGATGATTTCAAATGTGTTAAAATTGTGTTAGACCACTAATAGAAACTTGAAAGCACTGAACAACTGTTTTGTCCTAAGATGGGGTTCATCAGCAGTACACATTCATGACTCTTGCTAATCGCAGGATTTGAACCAAGGACCTTCTGTCTTGCTCACGAATGCTTATCCTCTGTACCACTGAGCCAGCATCCAACGGTGTTAATGTCAAACTATGATTAATCTAGGGAATTTCGTGCGACCTCATCCTTCGTCTTCTATGGGTAACTGCATACACCAGACATGGCTGAACTCCAATGTTCATGGCTTTTCACTTGAACGTTGAGAATTTCCTAACAAAGCTAGTCACTAGTCAGCACATTTCACGATTTTTAATGATAGAGTTATCGAGACTCTTCAGCAGTACGCGTTCACGAGTCTCATATTAGGACAAAACGGCCCTCCAGTGCTTTCATTAAAAATTAAAATTAAATAATTTTTCTAAAGGAAACTAATTTCTTGTTCGGGTGTTTAATTTTATGATTTTTCATTAAAGAGTTATGAAGATTGATATTTTACGTTGAAATCATGTGTTAATCATTGTGTTAGACCACTAATAGAAACTTGAAAGCACTGGACAGTCGTTTTGTCCTAATATGAGATCCGTGAATGCGTACTGATGAAGAGTCTCGATAATTCTATCATTAAAAATCGTGAAACGTGCGGACAAGAAGTTCAAATGAAAAGCCATGAACAGTGGAGTTCAGCAGTGTCTGGTGTATACAGTTACCCACCAAAGACAGTGGATATTGTCGTGCAAAATTTCTGAAACTGATCATAGTTTGACATTAACACCTATGGATGTTGGTTCAATGGTCTAGAGGTTAAGCATTCGCGCGCAAGATCGAAGGTCAGCAAGAGTTGTGGATATGCATTACTGATGAGTAGTCCTATACCAGGACAAAACGATCATCCAAAGCTTTCACGTTTCGACCGTTGGTAATCTTACAATAATCCATGCATGATCTCATTGAAATATTGTGTAATGTTTTGCTTGACCTCGTTGAAAACAGTTAACATGTCTATCTATTATCAAAGATTTATCTGATTTTATTTTTATTTAATTTATTCTTTTCAGCCACAAGAAGGATTCGCTTTCACATCGAGTAAGTCAATTTAAGATTGATTGAAATTGTTTATATATTAATTGGTTTGGCTGGTACGTTAGGGTCCACAAATTTCTCTAATTAACTTGTTTTTCAAAGTTTTATTTCAGTGAAAATTAAGTTAGAAATCATCAATCAATCATTGTTAGACCACCATTAGAAACCTGGTAGCACTGGACGTCCTGGTATGGTCTAATAATGATCGATTGATGAGTTCAAATGTGTAAATACACAAACCTCCAAACCTCTGCCCCAAAATATCGTGACAGTGCTCACTAGTGACTAGCTTTCTGAAGAAATTCTCGGAGATCTAGTTGAGAAGACGTGACCAGTGGAGCTCAACCCTGTCGAGTGTAGGCAGTAACTACCAAAGACAAATGGGTGAGATCGCGCAAAATCCCTAGATCAGTCAGAGTTAGACATTAAAACCACTGGATGCCGGTCCAGTGGTCCGATGGTTAGGCGTTCGCGCACAATACCGAAGGTCACGGGTTCGAATCCTGCGAGAAGCAGGAGTCGTGGATGCTCACTGCTGATGAGTTCCATACGAGGACAAAACGGCCGTCCAGTTCTTCCAGGTTTCTAATGGTGGTCTAACAATTAATTGATGATTTCCAAAACTCTGCCTCAAAATGAAGTTAGCCAGCAATGAAATCTTAGAACTCACTTTGATATCATTTGATACGTATCAGCAAAGGCATCGAAATTTAAACCGAACTCACTAATCGTTGTCAGTCAATCATAGTTGGTGAAAATTTCACTGATACATTCAGGTTTTAACTAACCCCTTTTTATAGAAGAGAGACAGTTATATTAAGAGATGGTAGAGAAAATTTGTAGCTCAGGTGAATGATTGTGAATTGAGTTTCATTCCCTGAGCTGAATGATTTTTCAGTTGTTCTTCTGTTGAACGACAACATCAGTAGCACAGATTTCAGATAGAAGAAGTGAAGTATTCAAATTGCTTCACGTATGACTCGAAGCTTATTCTGTTGACCTCCATCTTGATTGATAGTTATTAATCTTAAGCCTGCCATTGTCTGCACCTTTATTTTGATTGCATCCCCCTTTCAACACTTTACTTCTATCTGAAGTTTATACTGATAACGATGTTGTTGTTGTTCAGAAGAACAAGGAAGACACCTCCATAAGCAAAACATTCAGCACAGAAAACAAAACTCCATCACAATAGTCCAGGCTATTCACGGATTTCTGGACTTAACGGGCAGGGCAGGAAGAGAATTCCCAACCAATAGGAGATTAGCTATTAACTTGAGATTATTATTAATGCGTAATCGTATTCGGAATGGTGTTTTCTTTGTATCACGTGATGTTAGACAACGCGGACAGACATAACAAGGTCATTGCATATACAGAGAGGATAACACACTTGTGGTCTTCAGACATAAACTATCATCTTTTTTCTAATTGGACAAATCCAATCCTTACAGCTAACTTCATACTGGTTTAACAAATTAGCGGCTATTTGAACTGAAAGATGATTGTTTCATATTTCAATCTAGTCTTTTGAGCATTGATGATAAAGTCGTCCATATTGACAATAAAAGCTTCACATTGGGAAACATCAAACTGAAGAAATTTTAGAACAATTTAAAATTTTTAAATTAAATGAATAACTATAATGAAAAGTTTGATTTTGATTTTCTAAAATTTTTTTTTCCAAAGTTTCATTTAGTTGATTAACAATTTTATAAGCTAATGACACTTTAAAAATTAAATTATTTCATTTTGTTTTTAAATTCATGGTCAAATGAAATTATTCACGAGTAAAAATAATGTCTAATTGGTATATTTGAAATATATTACTTATTTATAAGTAGTAGTATTTAAATTATTAGCTTAAAAATCACGAAAAAATAAATTTATTTACCGGAGTTAAAAAAAATAAGAGTTTTAAACTTTTGATTTCCCCATAGAAAATTATCTTGTATAGTTGAGTTTTGAACATCAGTTGATCATTGAAAACTCATCACTGCGAACAACAGAATGATGTATAAAGGCAATGAACGTCGGCCACCAACCGCGAAGTCATTTATTGCTAGTGTGCCAAGTATTAAAAATTTATGATTTATAACTTATACTGTGGTGCGCGCTACTTATAAGTAGTATATGACGCGAGTGTAAACGTAATGTCTGGCAGCAGAACATGGGGGAAGATCAAGAAAGTAAGAAGACTCGGAACACAATGGAATTAGTATGAAACGCATGAATAAGTGAAATGCCAGACAATGGATCGATGATGGATTGAAGATTTGCAAATTAACGGTTTCGATATGGTTTTCCTATTTTACTGATTAACTCTGTAATTTGCGATGAATACAATTCGGTTGCCCTCACCTGTGTTCTCCTTCACTACAGTAGGAAAAAACTGTCGTCCAGCGATTACAGGTTTTTCCAGTGATGAGTTAGTCAAGATCAGTTCAGTATTTTAACTTTGCCATCTCTGAAAAACCTTATCCTTATATGTTTACTACTTACGCCTGTTACCCCTAATGAAGCATAAGCCACTGACCAGCAAAAAATTTTTCAAGTAAGAGATTATTTTTTAGCGAGTTGGATCTGTTACGCATGCATGTAAACATGTGAATTTGATATGCTTGAACTATGATGAGTTTACCGTAGTCGGAAAACGAGCGTGAGGATCGAGGATCCGGTGACATGACAGGCTACTCTAATCCGAGCGTCCCAAACCCACCCCATTGAGTAAAAGAAGAAGATTTGATATGATGTAGAACCTGTATTCTAAAAAACATTCAGAAAGTAAGAGGTCTGAGTCCAGAAGAAGATAAGGATCCCGCACTAAGGATCCGGGTCATAAAACGTTACACATAATGCATATTTATACACTTAAGCGGAATAGGAAACAACTTCGAAGTCTGTGAAATTGACAGTTAAGACGATCAATAGGAAACAACATTTGAAGTGACAATGACAGTCACGACGACCAATAGGAAACAACATTGAAGTACGTAGCATTGATATCAAGGATGACCATAAAACTGACCAATAGGAATTAACCAATAGGAATTGACTAATAATCCTCTTAGGATATTGGATGAATATTTTAACAGGATCTTTACAGGGTCGGTCGCTAAGCCCGGTGCACAATCCTCCTCCTTTATTCGCCCGGTCTTCGGACCAGCAGTAAGCCTAGAAGGGCCCAAGGCGGAATTCTTCTACATATGTATATATATATATATATATATATATATATATATATATATTTTCATCCATTCATGTTAATTTTTCTGTAGAAAAAATCCCGGAACATTGTGGTCGTAATGCATTCGATGATGAATGGCGTAAATATTTCGGCCGATCAATTAATAAACGTATTGTTGGTGGACAAGCCACAGCCTATGGTGAATGGCCATGGTTAGCATCGTTAATGTTTTATCAAACAGTGGAACAAGTAATCAAACAAAAACAGTTACATACAAAAGCTGATGAAGAAGAAGAGGAACTGGAATTTTTAGATAAAATCAATACAACTGATGAGGCAGTTGTTGAAGAAGTTGTCGATCCGTTTATACCACCTACCTTGGTTTATAATTATCCAGATGGTAGTCGACGTTTTCATTTATGCGGTGGTACATTGATACATCCTCAGTGGGTATTGACAGCGGCGCATTGTTTTGTGTAAGTCGTGATGTTATCGATCTGTGTCGATCTGTATTTCCCCCTTAAAAATAATCACTGTTATTAGTTTGATATTCATGATCCACATCTCCTGCTACTGGCAGGATTTAAACACAGGACAGTTTGATCATGCGCATAATGCCCTAACATCTAGACCACTGAGTTGGCATCCAACGGTGTTAATGTCTAACTTTCCCAACTTCACATACACCCAACAGGAGGAAACTCTACTAGTCCTAGCTTCTCACTGGAACTTCAAGAATTTTCTCACGAAGCTAGTCACTAGTGAACACATTTTATGATGTTAATTCTAAAGTGATGAAGATTGTTGAGATTCATTGATCGGAGGTGGACATGAGCAGTAGTCTAGAGGTTGAGCGTTTACGTGCTTTGCCTAAAGTCCTCAGTTCGACTCCCGCGGATGGAGGTCATGGATGTACACTGGTGACGAGTCTCATACTAGGACGATACGGTCGCCTAAACAGTGCTTGGAAGTTTCGAATGTTGGTCTAACAATGATCGATTTTCCAGTTCATTCATTCACATTGGCCTATTATTTACTCTATCACGTCCTTGATGAGAGCCACAGCAGCGACAGCAGTACTGATCATTTTTCAAATTTGTAATTAAAATTTGATCTACAGTATCGACTATTACATATTTGATTGTGTATAAGTGCATGCTTACTCGCTAATTATATGTCTAATCTATTATTGCCTGACTAAACATATTGAGTTTTGCATGCTTCAGCTCATGAAAGAGTTGGCTCATTCGTCTTCTTGCATTCTGATGTGTGTCTGCTTAAGTGAACACACATGAATAGAATTCATCCACAAAACCGTATTTGGCGTCTCACAAACGAGGTTTCATCACATACTCGACCGTTCATCCAAAATGAAGTCAAATTGCGCGAATCACTAAACTAATGAGCTGGACGTAGAACTAACTCGACGCACCATCTCACCATTACCCAATAAATGCTATTCAACAATAAGATATTTAATTTCCTACTCATCAGAAAAGTAATCACATTCTGATTAACTTGTTGATATCATAAATGACCACTTTCTGTATAACAAAAGTATCTGTAGACACCGATTTTTTACATATAGTGTTTGAGCATCCGTTTGCAATACAAACAGGCTTCTGAATGTCTTGTCTTACGTCTCTTCTAGTCTTTCGTACACTTTGACTGCATACTACATTCTGGTTTCCAGATATATTCTATTTCAGTAGCAATTTCTGCACGATACTCCACAGCGTACCATTTAAAAGTCAGCCTAAATAAAATCGTTTTCTTTATATATAAATAAGTCTAATTATTTTATTCAAATTTATTCGGAAGGTTGTTATACCAATTTAAACAAAATGCTTTCAAGTTTCAATGTTCTGACTTTATTTTCAGACAGACAGATTCACAGTTTTCATTGTGTTACGCCTGTACGTGAACGCGTCAACTTGATACACTTGAACTATTACGAGTTTACCTAGACGGAAAACGAGAGAGAGGGTCCGGTGACACGAACTGCTACTCTAATCCGATTATCCCAACCCCCATATTTTGTAAAAATAAGAAGACTTGAATGTGGAGTAGAATCTGTATTCTACAAGCATCCAGAAAGTACGATGTCCGAATCCAGAAGAGAATCAGGATTCCGGACAAGGGAAGGGACCGAGTCCTGGTCCTGATCGTAGTCATAAGACGTCACAGATAATGAGTATATATACATTTTGTTTGAAGAGGAAACAGCATCGAATTCTGTGACATTGACAGTTAAGACGACCAATAGGAAGCAACATTTGGAGTGATATTGATAGTCAGGACAACCAATAAGAAACAACGTTTGGGTACGTGACATTGATATTTAGGTCGACCACAAAATTGACCAGTAGGAATTAACCAATATGAATAGACCAATAATTCTCTCAGTGGATTGGATGAATATCCTAACACATTGTTTTTATTCCACTGGAATACATTTTTCATTAGAAAATACTTTTTTTATCAAAAAAATGTCATTATTATCAAGTGGTAAACAGTCTGGATTTGTTCACGAATTGATCATTGAACTAACTACATCTTTCAAGATTTTTTTTTACTAAATTCTGATTTATATTTTCAGTCCAAATCAAGTTTATCCAGATCTATCTGATAATCCAACAAGTTGGATTATACGAATTGGTGAACATGATATGTTGAATGAAACAATGGAACATTATGATATGGACGTTGATCACATATATGTACATCCCGATTATAAAGGTAAGTTATTCATGATGATTATATCGCATGATTGTACAATTTTACAATTTACCAGTGTTAGCATAATCAATCATCCAATATCCTAAGAGAATTATTGGTCTATTCCTATTGGTTAATTCCTACTGGTCAATTTTATGGTCGTCCTAGTAGATATCAGTGTCACGTGATCCAATGTTGTTTCTTATTGGTTGTCCTGATTATCAATGTCACTTCAAATGTTGTTTCCTATTGGTCGTCTTAACTGTCAATGTCACAGACTTCGATGTTGTTTCCTATTCGACCAGAATGTATAAATACGCATTATTTGTAAAGTTTTGTGAACACGACCAGGACCGGGACCAAGTCCCGTATCCGTAGTCTTGGATCCTGATTCTCTTCTGAATTCGTACCTCGTACTTTCTGGACGCTTGTAGAATACACAGTTCTATTCCACATTCAAGTCTTCTTATATTCACTCAATATGGGGGTTGGGATAATCGGATTAGAGTAGCATGTCGTGTCGCCGGATCCTAGATCCTCGCTCTCGTTTTCCGACTAGATAAACTTGTAATAGTTCAAGTATATCAAAATGACGTGTTTACCTGTAGGCGTAACAATCAGGAAATCATATTAGGTGTAATTGGGAAATAAAACTGAAATATATGCACACTGAAGACGTCGACATCTGGAGTGAAGCACGGTATCAACTGGACAGTTAGGAAGCAGCTGGACGATCTCGACTTCGCAGATGACCTAGCTCTTCTATCGCACACGTAACAACAAATGCAAGAGAAGACGACCAGTGTAGCAGCAGTCTCCGCAGCAGTAGGTCTCAACGTACATAAAGGAAAAAGGAAAATTCTCCGATGCAACACAACATGCACCAACCAAATCACTCTTGACGGAGAGGCCTTCGAGGATGTTATCACCTTTACATATCTGGGGAGCATCATCGGCAATCAAGGTGGATCCGATGTAGATGTGAGGACGCGGATTGGCAAAGCAAGGGCTGCATTTCTACAATTGAAAAATATCTGGAACTCCAAACAACTTTCAACAAAAACCAAAATCAGGATTTTCAATACAAATTTGAAGACAGTTCTACTGTATGGAGCGGAAACTTGGAGAACTACGAAAGCCATCATCTAAAAGATACAAGTATTTTTGAACAGTTGTCTTCGCAAAATACTTCGAATTCGTTGGTCAGACACGATCAGCAACAACGTAATGTAGGTGACAACAAACCAGATTCCAGTGGAGGAGGAAATCAGGAAGAAGTGGTGGAAGTGGATAGGAAACACACCACGAAAATCACCTAACTGCGTCACAAGACAAGCCCTCACATGGAACCCTCAAGGCAAAAGGAAAAGAGGAAGGCCAAGGAACACATTACGCCGAGAAATAGAGAAAGATATGAGAGGAATGAACAAACATTGGACAGAACTGGAGAAGGAACCCCAGAACAGAGTTGGTTGGAGAAAACTGGTTGGCGGCCTATGCTCCTCTATTGGGGGTAACAGGGGTAAGTGAGTTAGTAAGTATATACACACTGATATTAACTAATAGAAATTTTAAAGATTGATAACCATTGAAAAGTTTTTAAAATCATGACAAATACTAACAAGAACAACAAAACTCAGTTGATCAGTTGGTCATACGGTCAATTGATTCTAGTTCCGAAATGAACATCAACTCTGAGATGTAAGTACAATTATCTGACAAGTCACAATGTCAGACATGTAAAGGCCAGTATTGAATTCCGCTGTTAGCCATATGATTTCTATTTTATACCATAAGTAATATTAAGATGAACACTTACAAGTTTCAAAGTCTGTACTTTATGTTGTTACATTAAACTTTACTGAACTTAATTCTCTACAAAAAATATAAAATTGACCGTACAAATGACTTCTATCGTATTTTTTTTCAAATATTAGCTGAACTACTTGTTATTTTTAAGTAGTTAAATTTATATGTATATTTATTTTCTTGACTTGTATGATGAGTAACAGTCAATCAATGAGTTTTTTTCAACTTTTTACTCCTAGGTGTATTTCTTGTCACACTCAATGTTCGTCTTTCATAAGCAGGTTTCATTTGAAAGTTTTTTTTTATTTTGGAATGAAACAGTCATTATCAATAATAAAGGATGGTAATCGCGCCTACATTAACTGAGTGCAAAACCAGCGATCTCAAAAAATAGTAACCCACTAGATAACCTAAAGTTCCTAGCTAGATTACTAGCACAGAATGAGTCGAGGGACTTATACATGGATGAATCAGTTTTTCTCTGCTCAATGACTTATCAGCAACATCTCAGCTGGTAAGAAACTCTCCATTCTCACCCACAAAAACTACACAGTTTCAATTTAGATAATAAATATGAGTACACCATGCAAGAACCTTGCTTTTCCGTAAAAATTTATAGACACATACAAACACACTGAACAATTTCGTTTACATTTCAAAGTAACATCTACCTGAACCAATAATTATTATTTAGTTGTATGTACATATATATATATGATGATTCACAATTTTGAAACCATGAATCGATCAATGTTAGACCATCATTAGAAACCTGAAAGCACTGGACGGCCGTTTCGTCCTGGTATGGGACTCATCAGCAGTGCGCATCCACGACTCCTGCACCCCGCAGAATTCAAACCCACGACCTTCGGTACTGTAGGCGAACGACTAACCATCAGACCACTGAGCCGGTATCTAACGGTGTTAATGTCTAACTTGATCAATTCACAGAGTTGCGCAACCTCATGCACAGTCTTCGGTAGTTACTGTTTACACCCGATGGTTAGGGCGTTCGCCTACAATACCGAAGTTCCTGGGTCCGAATTCTGGGTGGGTGCAGAAGTCGTGGATGCTCACTGCCACTGATGATTCTCATACCAGGACGAAACGGCCGTCTTTCAGTGCTTCCAGGTTTCTAATGGTGTTGGTCTAACATTGATCGATTCATGGTTTCAAAAATGTGTCACTTAACAATCTTCACAACCCCCTAATGCATATATTTGATTGAAGACTTACACTTTGTTTTAAAACCATTTTTGCACATGTCAGAGTGATTTTCATTGATTTATTTTCCAGTTGCTTTTAGTAGCGGTAATGATATAGCTTTGGTCAAATTGATAGAACCAGTAAAATTAGGTAGATATGTGAATATCGCTTGTATACCATGGTCGAAAGAACAATTGAAACCTGGTCAAGAATGTATGAGTGTTGGTTGGGGACATGAAACTGATGGTAAGTTTTATTATTAGTTTTGAAACTAGTAAATAAAAACCTCTGATTGCCCCTTGTTTTATACTGCTGTATATGAGTGAATAAAGCATTAATTCAATTTTAGTAACAATTCTGAACACACTTCGTTTGATTGGGATCTTCATCAGTATCTGTTCAGTTTTATGAGCTAGATCTTCTCTCGGAATGGTTTACTCAGGAAAATTTCGAAAAAAAAACTCAAAATACAGTGTTTTATTCGTTTCGAGGCATACTTATACTATTACGGGTTCATCTTAGTCGAATTATGAGAACAAAACAATGAACCAGCGTCTAGGTTGACCCGATTGTACCAGCAAGAAGTCTTGGTATAGCGTAGAAAGTATATTCTTCAAACACTCAGCCAGCACACAATGAAGCTAAGCACTGAAATTGCGTTTATTTATACTCGCCATAGAGACGTGCTTGGGACAGTCTTAAAAATAGCCCACCAAAATGACACAGTAAACAATCACAGCCAAGGATTTTCCTGGTGGGAAGTGTGATCTCAAAGTCAACTTATCGTCCACGAAATAAATCCAAAATAATGATATTTATCAAGCTAGTTCTGGAGATCTAACATCCCCAACACTCCTCCCCTATTTTTTAATAGCGTGCGCTCCTGAGGTCGACTTGCATCTTGACCGTTGTTCGCCGCTGTCTGAGGGGATACCTTCGGGAACGGAGATTAGCTTGTGAATGAGTTTGTTCTCGTGGGGGGGGGCTGCTGATAGGTTGAAGGTATCAAGCAGGATGTAAAGGGGAAGATTTACTGCTCTTGACGGACGATCTGGGGCTAGCCGTTTGCGTATCTGATTTCGATGGCGTGACCATTTATCGCCTCCTTCCTCTACTTCGTACATAACTAGCCCAACTCTTCTGATCGCTCGCGCCTACACCCCGGGACCATGAGTGTATGAAAAGCCGTGTAATCTTTCGATGGTCTGAATAATTTCTTCAGAAACTGATTATCTTCAAAAAAATGATTTCTTAAATTTCTGTAAATAATAATGAATGTCTTTGAATGAAGGTTCGGTTGTATTGGTTGTCCCTGTTCTAAGGACTGATCCATGATGGATTTTACACTGTGTGAAGTCATGAACGGTTGAAGTATGTTTTCTGGGATGTTATTACCAATCATATGCCCCACTCTCCTACTTTATCCGGGCTTAAGTCCGGCACTAGCCCCAGAGGGGCTCCAGGTGGAGTTTAGAGCCCTCGTCTGCAACAACCTACTGCGGGAAAGAACAAATCAGATTCCAGCGGAAGAGGAAATCAGGAAAAGGGCTGGAATTCCTGGATAGATCTCACAAGATAAGCTCTCACTTGTAACCCTCAAGGTTACAGAAAAAGAGGAAGGCCAAAGAGCAAAATTACACTGAGAAATAGAGAAACATATGAGAAGAATGAACAAAAATTTAAACATAGCTGGAAAGGAAGCCGGAAGATAGAGTAGGTCGGTGAATACTGGTCGATGGCCTATGCTCCTCTATTGGGGGTAACAGGCGTAAGTTATTAAGTAAGAAGTCATGAATGTTCAAGCTATCTAGCTAGCTAGCTATTCAATACTCTATGGGTTTCAATAGTTTTCTCACAAAAACCATTGGTTGCAATCAGCCTCCTAGTTGAACTAACAATTCAACTGGCAGTTCACACAATATAACTCTGCATAAGTTAAACGGGAATTTAAATTTTCAGCATTGTAATATGTGAAATTTTTTGACAGTTTACATTATGATGTCGACTAATTCATATTTATGACGACTCTATCAGAAAAAAAAAAATTATCGAAGTTTAAATGAGAAGCTAATAATTATTACAGCATAATATTGATTACAATAATTCACGACCAATCAGTGAGATGTCAATAATTAAGGTGTTTGACTCATCTGAGTTGATGATTGGGCGATAGGTAAGTCATCCTCAAGGTCAGGTTTAGTCAGTCACATAATAGAGTAGGGCAGAATGTGATTGGTCATTTGTTATGAGTTCTTAATATGGTCTGCTCTCAATATTCTACGTCGAAATTATTTAAACAGTATTGTTGTTGATTTCAACAAATACAAGAGAAGACGACCAGTGTAGCAACAGCCTCTGCAGCAGTACCTCTCAACATACATAAAGGAAAAAGCGAAATTCTCCGATGCAACACAACATGCACCAACCAAATCACTCTTGATGGAGATGCCTTGGGGGACGTTAACACCTTTACATATCTTGGCAGTATCATTGACGAGAAAGGTGGATCCGATGCAGTATGAGGGCGCGTATCGGCAAAGCAAGGGCTGCATTTCTACAGTTGAAGAATATCTGGAACTCCAAACAACTTTCAACCAAAACCAAAATCAGCATTTTCAATACAAATGTCAAGACAGTTCTACTGTATGGAGCGGAAACATGGAGAACTACGAAAGGCATCATCCAGAAGATACAAGTGTTTATTAACAATTGTCTACGCAAAATACTTTGGATCCGTTGGCCAGACACCATCAACAACAACGTACTGTGGGAGAGAACAAACCAGATTCCAGTGGAGGAGGAAATCAGGAAGAAGCGGTGGAGTTGGTGGATAGGACACACACTACGAAAAGCACCTAACTGCGTCACGAGACAAGCCCTCACATGGAACCCTCAAGGCAAAAGGAAAAGAGGAAGGCCAAGGAACACATTACGCCGAGAAATAGAGAAAGATATGAGAAGAATGAACAAACATTGGACAGAACTGGAGAGGGAATCCCAGGACAGAGTTGGTTGGAGAAAACTGGTGGTCGGCCTATGCTCCTCTATTGGGGGTAACAGGCGTAAGTAAGTAAGTAAGTTGTTGATTTCACCAGTAATTCGGATTCACACCAGTTGATCAGTTGATTTCATGTGAAAATTTTCCAAAAACAGAAGTTCATTAACCGATACTGATATTTATTCTTTGTTAAATTCAGGAGCAAAACATATTTCTACAATTCTAAAGCATGTTAGCGTACCAATTGTACCAAACGATCAATGTACACTGAATTATGCCACTCTACGTAATGGACCAAATCCTGTTGATGTGACCATTGAAAATAATGTGATTTGTGCAGGACTTGCCGAAGGCGGTAAAGATGCATGTCAGGTGATGATGAATCATGAAACTTTTTTTAATTTTAATAAAAGTTGTCTGTCCATGTGTGTGATGAAATAATCAGAGAAGATTTGATGACAAGGATCAATTTGTTTTTTTAAATAGAATAAATAATGAGTTAAATTCAAAGTAGAGCTCTTCACTTTCAGTCAGTCAGTTAGTAAGATGCAACGTAAGTACATAAGTTCATGTTGCCATACCACATCAGCACAGAGATGTAATTGTCAATTCAAATCCAATAGTAGAAGAGGTAGTAAAGGTCTAAGAATTAATCGACGAGGTTAGGATTAGAAGATATTTTTCAAGAAGTATGATTTAGTGAGAAAAGTTTAGAAAGTCAAAAGTAGAGGGGTTTAAAAATCCAGAAGACTAGGATTTGAGAGAACACAAAGCATAAATGCACCGGCGCCATTGCAAACGATTTTGAGCCATGTTATATTCAAGGTCTCTAACAATCGATTATTATCATCTCGCGGACCCCAACCAGGTAGTCGACAATTACCGACATGGCTAAGTCCACTAGTCAATGACTTCATCGGTTTGTACCATGTTTTGTTCTGGCCGCCCCTAACTTTCTTCCAGTCAGTGGTTAGGCATACGCAACACATGTCCCAACCACCTCAACTGATGAAGTTTCATTACTTCATCTACTGATCTGCCATTCTTACCTAGCACCCGATTCCTAATAACACCGTTGCTCACTCGGGTGTCCTACGATATACGAGCAATGCTTCGAAGACACCTATGATTGAAAACTAGTAACCTACGAATATCTTCTACTCTCACTGGCCATGTTTCACAGCCATAAAGTAAGACTGCGCAATACACTCGTCCTTTAGTCAGGAAACGGATATCTCGCCTACGCCATAAGTGACGCAGGTTGGCAAAAGCCAATCGAGCCTTCTGTATCCGTGCTGAGATTTCGTCAGTCACCAAGCCATCGGCACTGATGATACTCCCAGGATAAGTGAAGCGGTCTACACGTTCGACTACTTCACTCCTTATCACTAGTTCAGGTGCCGATGCAATCCAGTCTTGAACCAACATTTTGCATTTCGAGGGGGAAAATCGCATCCCGAACATGCTTGCATTGTTGCTTAGGGTAGTCATCAGAAGACTCTGTATTTTGTCAGCGTCGTCACCAAGTAAGGCTCTTCACTTTAGTGGCCGGTGATCAGACTTCTCCTTTTCAAGTGAACAGTCGAGTATGCGATGAAATAAATCTTTCCTCTGATTTCTGGATATATCATACTTAGGCGAAAATCATTTATGAAACGACAGTAAACACAAGCCAAATATGGATTCAGTTGGATGAGTCCAGTTCATGTGATCGTACTCACACAGGCAGACATGAAAATATAAAGTGTAAAACCAAAGCAAAACGAAGTGGAGAAACAACTGAGCTAAATTCATACGATGTTACTTGATCAAGCATTTATAGTCAAACAATGACAGGCTAGAAGTGCGATGAGCAGCGAAATAAGTATGCACACAAACACACACACACGCTGAAGTAGGAACAAGCAAGATTATAAACTAATCATTGACAAGGTTGACGCATAATGCAAAAATTACCTGATTCACTAGTGACTAGCTCTGTGAGGAATCTTCTCCGAGTTCTAGTGAGAAGTGGTGACCAGTGGAGTTCACACCTATTGAGGTGTGGAGCAGTCAGTATTCACCGAACACAGTGTATAAGGTTGCGCAAGACCGTAAATTGATCACGGCTAGGTACCAGCTCAGTAGTTCAGAGATTAGGCATTAGCTCGCCCAAAAAATCTAAAGGTCCTCGGTTCGAATCCTGCAAGGTACAAGAGTAGTAGTGGATACTCACTGCTGATGATGAGTCCCTTACCAGGACGGAGTAGTCATCCATTACTTCCAGGTTTCTAATGAGATGGCCTAACATTGATCAAGCAATTACATGACTGACTGTCTAATTAAAAAAAATGAAACTTGAACCTACACAATTCATTGTCTGATGAAAATTGCGCTTTTATTTTTCTCTCTCTATCATGTTTCTTTTCATTTCAATTATAGTTTGATTCTGGTGGTCCATTAATGTGTTTTATGAATCGGCAATGGATTGTCAGTGGAATTATTTCTTTCGGTTATGGTTGTGGCAGAGCAGGTTATCCTGGAGTATATACACGTGTTTCTGATTATATTCCATGGATTCAACGTATAGCGGATGTGTTTACTTTTTAAAGTGAAAAAAAATCAATAATATTTATTGAGTTATCTGTAGAGAGAGAGAGACAGACATAGACAGACAGACAGAGAGAGAGAGAGAGAGAAACACATACGTGTTGACAATAGTTATATTATTAATTTGAACAAATTGTGAAACAAATAAAAACTTACAGAGAAAATAAATGAATTTAATTTTGAAATAAACCATTGAACTTGTTTTATTCTGTGCAGCCACATTCTGTGTACCTATGGAGGTCGAGCTAGTCCTGTAGTCTTGGTCTAAATTGTAGATTGACGAAAATGATCAATCAGTAGAGTTAAATGTGGTCATTTGTTTAGAGAAATTTCCTTTTCTGTGACTCATTAAATTGTATCCAGAAATGAACAGTCAGTTAGTCAATGATGACTGTGTAGAATTTCGTAGGTATGTACATCGGTTCATGTTAGTACAGAGATGTGATTGTCAATTCAAAGCCCATAGTGATAGAGATAGTAGAAGAAATACTGCTAATGGAGAAGATTAGGATTTGAAGATAATATTCAGGTAGAGGTGCTGACGAATCCAGAAGATTAGGATTTGGAAGAATACAAAGAGTGAATGCACCTGCACCATTGCAATTGATTTTGAGCCGTATCGTTCAAGGTCTCTAACCATTGGTGACTTTCGTCTCGTGGACCCCAACCAGGTAACCTACGTCTACCAACATGACTCAGTCCATTTGTTAATGATTTCATGGATTTCAGCCATGTTTTGGTCTGGCGGTCACTAGCTTTCTTCCAACATGCTCCTACACCACAGAACATATCTCGTCGCGGCAGTCAGTGGTTAGGCATTCGTAACACATGTTCCAACCACCCCAACTGATGAAGTTTCAATACTTTACCAATTGATTTGCCATCCTTACCTAGTACTCGCTTCCTAATGGTAGCATTGCTTACTCGGTTATCCCATGATACACGAGCAATGCTTCAAAGACATGAGGTTCGAATGGTTCATGCAAGAGCGATGACCATAAACTGTCCAATAACCAGTGCGTAGTGGTTGATGCGACGCTTATTGTGGTAGTCGAGTGAAGAATTATGTTGTCAACTGACAACTTATTTCCCTAAGCTGATATTGTGATGCGCGCAACTTTTAAGTAGAATATGACGCGAGTGTAAACGTAATGTCTGGCAGCAGAAGATGGGGGAAGATCAAGAAAGGAAGAGTGAGAACACAATGGAATTTGTATGAAACGCATGAATAGTGAACTGTCAGACAATGGATTGATGATGGATTGAAGATTTGCAAATTAACGGTTACGATATGGTTTTCCTATTAAATCAATTAACTTTGTAATTTTCGATAAATACAATTCGGTTGCCCTCACCTGTGTTCTCCTTCACTACACTATGACTACTCGATAGTCATTCACCATTGGTCTAAGATCTAAGGTAAAAACATGTGTACCCATGTGCATATGAGAGCGTTTGGATCCCACTCTAAACTTGCATATAACGTGTACTGGTGTTCGAAAACGTCTATGCCTATATGTGTTTAAAGAATGAGTAGACCTGTTTAAATATTCTATGCTTGTATATAACGCATACTAGCGATCGACCATATCTATGCCTATGTACATATATATATCTTCGACAAATTAGTACTATATGAGCGCAAAAAGCATTCTTGAGAGAAGCTATGACGTTCCATACTGAGAGTACTCAAAATAAAGAATATCTGAATGAGTGATTGACTATATTAACACAAGAGGATCATGGTGATTGTTGAGTTTTGTATCCTTCCAATCCCAGACCTGCCTCAACTGAACAACTATTGAAGACAAGAAAATACTGGACATATGATGTATGCTATTATGGGACTTCTATACGGAACGCAGACATTAACCCTCATTGCTAGGGATCGAACGCAACAACTATAAACTTCGTAATGGATACTTAACCTTTAAACTCAGTCAGTAACAACGTAGAACTTTGCATGTGCGTATGGTAGCACAGAGATACAAGTGTTGATTAAAATCCCAGAAAGGTAGAGATAGTAGACGTATGAGTAGTAATCTGAAAGATTACGTTCCGAAGATATTATTCAAGGAGTATTTTCCAGTAAAATAAATTTAAAAGGAGAAAGATAAAGGTGATGAGGAATTTAGAAGATTAGAATCTGAGAGAAGACAAAGAGTGGATGCACCTGCACCATTGCAAACGATTTTGAGCCATGTCGTTCAAGGTCTCTAACCATTGGTGACTTTCGTCTCGCGGACCCCAACCAGGTAGTCGACAATTACCGACATGACTCAGTTCACTTGTCGGTGACTTCATGGATTTCTGCCATGTTTTGGTTTGGCCACCTCTAACTTTCTCCCAACCTATTTCTACACCATAAAACATTGCTCTTCGAGGCAGTAGGTGATCGGGCACACTTAACACATGTCACAAAAACCCCAACTGATGAAGTTTTACCGCGCTATCAGTCGATCTGCCATCCTTACCTAACGCTTTTTATCTTAAAACTACATTGCTTACTCGGTGGTCTCAGGATATACTCGCAATTCTTCGGAGTCGCCTATACGTCCCCAACATAAAAGACAAAATGTAATATAGCACGTCATAGACATTCGAGTTTGTTTAAATTACTCGACAGCAGTACCGATCACTTTTCATATTCGTAATCAAAATTCTATCACAGTATCGACTATTGCATATTTGGTTGTGTGTGTGTGTGTGCATGCTTACTCGCTAATTACATGTCTAGACTATATCAGGACGAGACGGCCGTCCAGTGCTTCCAGGTTTCTAATGGTGTTGGTCTAACGTTGATCGATTCATGGTTTCAAAAAAATGTGTAAACATACTAAGTCATGCATGCTTCAGCGCATGAGACAGTTGGCTCATTCGCCTTCTCTTCTTCAATTCACTTCGACACGCTTGCACTCTATGCATTCTGATGTGTGTCTGCCTAAGTTAATACACATGAAATAAATTCATCCACAGAACTCTGTATTCGACTTCTTATTACCACCCTCGCACAAATGAAGTTTGCCTAAGTATGTGATGTACTGAAAATGGAAAGAAAGATAGATTTGTTTCATCTCATACTCGATCATTCGTCAAAACTGAAGTCAAACAACGTGGACCACTAAACTGGTGAGCTCGACGTCGAGCTAACTAAACGCATCATCTCATCATCACCCAATCAATGTTACTCAACAATAAAATATTTAATTTTCTACTCATCATCACATTCTGATTAACTTGTTGTTATCTTCATGACAACTTTCTGTAAATTGTACACTTATTCAAACAGATTCACATCACACTTTCAAATTTCAATCTCTAACCGGTTTATTTCAAATGGTAGTAGACACTTTGTAGATGTGTATAGATGTGTATACTTTTACTGGTGTTGTGTACTGTATTCTGTGAAAGTCGATTGCATTCTTTTACTCGTAACAATTAGTACACTGTTCTTCCATGTAGGATTTATTGATAGATTAGTCATTTTGCTTTGATTCTGATCGATTGTCACGAAGTCTCATCCAATCTGTCATCAAGGTCAGCGGAATGAGCTGTGAGTCATGTGTGAACAAGTAATACGAATCAAGTCATTTCTACTCAAAGTTTTCTTCATGGATACTTCTGTCAGTTGTTGGTGTTAAATTGTAATCACATACTGCTGCGGGGCAACCGGATTGATTTAACGGAAATTACAGAGTTACTCAGTAAAATAGGGAAAAACCATATCGTAAATCGTTCATTTGCAAAATATCAGTTCATCATATCGAACTGGACTGTTCCTGTTGCAAAACATCAACAATCCATTGTCACTATTCATGCGTTTCATACAAATTCCATTGTTTTCTAACTGTTCCTTTCTTGATCTTCCCCCATCTTCTGCTGTCAGACATTACTTTGGCACTCATGTCATATACTACTTATAAGTAGCTCGTACCACAATACAACAAAGATATTCATGAATTAAAACAAGCTCACTTACATACAAAATAACATTTTTTTCATTGAAATCATGAATCGATCATTGTTGGACTATCATTAGAAACCTTTGAAGCACTCACTGGACAGACATTTCGTTGTAATATCGGGCATCCACGACCTTCGTTCACCGTAGTCTATCAATGATTGATTCGCAATTTGTTATACTCGTCAATTGATATGCTTGAATACTATAACGAGTTCACCTTATTCGGTAAATGAGAGCGAAGATAAATGATCCAGTCACTTGATAGGCTACTCTGAGCGGAGCGTCCTCAAGGCCCCACTAATGGCATCAAAAAGTCTTGATATGGTGTACAAACACCCAGAAAATGTGAGGTCCACAAGCACGCAAATCGAGTTTATTTATACATGATAGAAATGCCATTGAGAGAGCCACAAAAATAGCGTACTAAAATAATACATCAACCAATAACAGTCAAGGATTTTCCGGATGGGAAATGTTATCTCAAGGTCAAGTGACCAGCCAATGCGCTAAAACATGAAATTCAAAATTAGGACCTTTATCAAGTGAGTTCCGGTAGATCTAACGTCACCAACATAATTTCAATGAAACTCAATAATCTAGAAAACCCTATAATGAAAAATAATTTCAGAAAAACATTGAAACACAAATCCCTTAGTGTGTTCCTTTCTTTCCCTGGTTCTTTTACAAATGAACATGATCTTGATAAAAATATGAACTTGAATTTCCGACTTTCTTCAATATACACGACTTCCCCCAAGTTATCATCATTCTGAAAAAAAAGGATTTTTATCAGACATGAGCGAAACATTGCCTTGAATTGTAAAAACAGGTAATGTGTAGTACACCAACAACTAGGATTATTGCGACAGACATCTTCGTTATCCTATGTTTTCATCTTACCACATGGCTCCGATAGTTCCCCTATGATGATAATCTAAGACCAAGTATACATAAGTGAACAGTATTACTGTTACAAGTAAGTACTTGTTGAAGAGTTGTTTCGATTTAGAAAAAGACTACTAAATTACCATTGTAACGATCAATAGTCGCAAGAATTTTTTTTAATCTAGAACTCAACAAGTCTCACAAAAGAAACTCGTCCCTATTGTCAAAACTCCATGCTGTACAAACTTAATACACTGCGCCAATCCATGTGTGTTAAACTTCAAGGTCATCTGAATATAATCTCAATCTTCCAACTGATTTATCTCAAGGTTAAATGGTTCCT